GGAGGATTCGGGGCAAGATGGAGGGCGTAGCCCTCGCCCTTTCAGGGTTTGCATCTGAGTGTATGGCCACCACAAGGGCAGGGACCTAGCAGCAGGTGTGGCTCTGTTCTGTACATGGCAGTACTTAAAAACGAACCAGTTAACAAAAACACCATGTGACTAGAAGGGAGGCCTATTTTTAAAGTAGGTATGGTTATAAAATTCAAAGTGAACACTCGTAGAAGGATATATTTTTTACAGTAATCTGAGGGTACACCCAGAATTTCTTTCCCTCAGAATTCTTCAGGATTCCTGGGAGTCAGTAAGTGACAAAGTAACTATACAACAGTAAGTGTTGTCTCTCAATTTTACTTGAAAATAGATTATATATATATTTAAAAGATCTATTGTTACATTCAAAGTTTATATACTGGAAGTCTGGTTAAAGCTTTAAAAAATTTTATCTTAAGATAACAGAAGTACAATAAATATCTTTAAAATTATTTAATTAAAAAAAAATTCCCATATGTGGAATCCAATGAAAAAAATAAGTGTGGGAAGCTGCCTATTGTCTTCACTAGCAGAGAGGTGTGGACAAGGAACCTGGAAGGCTGGTGATCCTTGAAGCCCTGGCAAAGGTCAGAGCTGTGCACCCACTGTTAGTCCAGACAATGGTAGCTGAAGCAACTTCCCCATTTATTATTATGTAAATCCTTGCTGATGGGCTAGTCTGCCTATTACTGGAAATTGCCTGCCTAAGGGCTATGGGTGTATCCCAAACCAGTAAAAGGTTGGCGATGCCTGAGCACCAGTGGAAGTCCTTCCCCTTGAGTTGGACTTGCCCACCTGGCCCCCCAATATTTCCAAATTATTATTTCTTGTCTTGTCTCTTTCATTTGCGTGAGGCCCTCTTCCAGATCTTGAACCCTGAACCACGTGGGACGTGGGGGGAAACAAACAAACACATAAACTTTACACAAATAAGCTGATGAACAAAATCGATCCGGAGACATAGAAGCATGGAACAGACTGTCAAACCTCAGAGGAAAGGCAGGGGAGGGTGTGTGGATGGGAAGAGATAAACCAAAGAATTTGAATGCATGTATGCCTAACCCATGGACACAGACAATAGTGTGGTGACAGCCTGGGGTGGGAGGGGAGAGCGGGCTAGAAGAGATCAATGGGGGGGAAAGGAGACATATGTAATACTTTCAACAATAAAGATTAAAAAAAAAAGTCCCAAACCCCAAAGTAAGAGACTTCGAAGTATGACCAAGGGTTATACTTTCTTGAGGATCAAAAAATCTAGCTAATTTTCTTACAACCTAATGCTGAAATGAAAAATTCTCTATATATGTGACCAAAACCAATTAGACACCATGAAGTGTTACACACCACTGAACATGGCTTTAACTCTATGGCTAAGCAGATTAAAATTGTACACATGCCTACCAGAAAAACCACGGACCTCTGAGCATGGACAAATTCCAAAAATGTTTTCTGAGGTCTGGGATAAATCACTTCTCACCTGAGCCCCCATTTCTGTGCCTTAACCCCCCGACTGACTCCATTTTGATTCCTTGAAAGCTGTATCAATGAGGCTGTGGACGAGAGAAACCAGGGAAGTCGCTGTGTGAACAGTGCTGCTCATGCATCACTCGGATCCTCTGGTTGCCTTGGGAAGTGGGAGACTCTACACTTCTTACTGGACAAATGTGACACCAGGCAGCAGGAAAGCAAGAGACTGAAGGGACATCGGGGGAATTGTGAGTATCAATGCCTACATGGTCCAAGTTTGGCCTAATTATAATGGGTTCCATTCTATGAGTGAATTGTCATTATACTAAGTTCCTATCTAGTGTTATAAATAGGAGTATATGGTCCATTTTTGACATGCCATTAGATTAGAATCTCTGTAGCCATAGTTAAAAAGTTTTGGTAAAATGTTTGTTTTCTAGGCAAAAACAAAGTGTGGATAAGGAAATAACGAACTTTTATAAGTCAACTAAGAAGGAAATAATAAAAAATTAGTTAAATTTAGAAAGGAGCATAAATTCTACTCATGACTCATTTTTTCCCCCCTTCAACTACTGTAGCTGGCCATTCATGACATATAAGAGCAGTTACCCTTGGAAACCTCCAACATCAAAGGGATCTTGCCTGTTTAGTCAAGAATAATAATGACAAGTAGGCCACCACAAGTGGATTTGCTACCATCTGCCTTCATGCAAAACACATCCTATATAATAAAGAGGTAATATGCAAATTAACCCTCACGCCCTCACAAGATGGCTACCTACGACCAGGCTGGTAGGGGGGTTAGTGAGGGATGACCAAACGGCTGAACAAGCAGGCTGCGTGGGGTGACCAGGCCAGCAGGGGGGTTAGTGAGGGACTGAATGACTGAACAAGCAGGCTACATGGGGCAACTGGGCTGGCAGGGGGGTTAGTGAGGGACAACCGAATGACTGAACAAGCAGGCTGTGTGGGGCAACCAGGCTGGCGGGGTGTGGGGGGTGCAATGAGGGGTGACCAGGCCAGCAGGGGGGGCAGTTAAGGGTGACCAAGCTGGAAGAGGGGGGCAGTTGGGGGCAACCTGGCTGGCAGCGGGGGGCAGTTAGGGGCAACCAGGCCAGCATGCAGAGGCAGTGAGGGGCGGCAGAGTGCAGTTGGGGGCGACTAGGTCCACAGGGAGGGGGCAGTTGGGGCGACCTGGCTGGCAGCGGGGGGCAGTTAGGGGCGACCAGGCCAGCAGTGGGGGCAGTTAGGTGCAACCAGGCAGGTGAACGATTAGGAACCAGCGGTCCAGGACTGTGTGATGGGAATGGGCCTAAACCGGCAGTTGGACATCCCCCAAGGGGTCCCGGATTGGAGAGGGTTCAGGCTGGGCTGAGAGGACCC